ACACACACACACACACACACACACACACACACACACACACACACACACACACACACACACACACACACACACAGACTTTAAGTGCCCGTTAGGCATCCACTCCCAGGAGCTTTAGCTGTTTCTTTGCAAAACTGGAACAAGTCTGTAGAGAGAAAACAGATTTAAAACTTTTAGTTGTTTTATTTCTCATTAAACATTACCTGTTTCTCAAGGTTTGTGATTGTTATTAGAAAAGTCAGATCAATATGTAGAAAACAGACAAGTCAGAAACCATTTTGGTCGTTGACCTTCAATGCAGAATGGGAATCCAAACCCAGGTTTTTCCRCTGATATGATGCAGCAGTTTTTTCCACCCTGAACGAGTTTCATTTCTTTTTTACTTAAAATGATTTTTATTTATTAATAATTGTGCTAATACTAATCAATCTGCATGATTTTCACGTGATGAGTGCAGTTTTCAGTTATTCTTTTATATTTGGATTCAGGGAAGCCATCAACAGACTGTGTGAAGCTGTGCCAGGAGGGAAGGGGGCGTGGAGGAAAAAGGTTATTTGTAAATTTATTGTAATGTTTTTTGTACTTGTCTTTGTAGGAATCTATACTGTGGGGCGCCTAATATGTCACTACCACATCGTCATTATTTGTTATTTTAAAAATTATTCTAACATTTTATTGTTATTTAGCTCTTCTTACATTTTACTGATTTTCACTAAATGTTAAATGTTATGTCTAAATGTTAAACCCTAAATTTAAATGTGTAAATCTAAATGTAAAAGTTAAATGTTGTGGCTAAATGTTGACGTTTACATTTAAGAATTTCAAAATGTCTTAATCCTGAGACAGACATCAGATAATGAAAACATGTTAGATGTTTTTTTAACATTTTATTTCACTTGGTGCCTCATRCTATACCAGTCAAATTTGGTACAGAAAATGGTCTTGCTGTTCTGTTTTAGTACATTTGAAAATGCAAATATTGTGTGATTTTTAACATCCACTGTCTTCTTTGAYGCAGACTCCTAACAAAGCTCTACAGTCAGTCATGGGGAAAAGTAACCTGCGGTTTGCAGGCATGAGCATCGCTGTAAACATTTCTGTAGACGGGCTCGGTCTGCTCGTCCCAACCACTCGACAGGTCAGATTATACTTWTTAACGTTAGGAAACTAGACTGAAAATATTGTGTTTTTAATTGTAAACTGGTCATATGAGTCATTTTCCTCACTGACAACCATTAGGTTATTTTCTTAGAATCAAAATAATTATTTAGAATTTTTGGTTTGTTTTTACTTTACTTTACCCTGTATGTGTGACATGATTTAAGTTAATGAAAGGCCAGTGAACGTATTTCTTAATTTTTGTCTGACATCTGGTTTTGTTGAATAAAATGACATGCAAATTGCTTCACACTTGTCTTTTATCAACTTGTCTCTTTCAGATGATAGCACATCATCCTATGCAGTCCATCTCTTTTGCCTCTGGAGGAGACACAGTGAGTGTTAGGACTTAATATTTTACAACGTAACAGAAGTGTACGGAGCCTGTCTGGTGACATTGGATAAAAAAAAGTGTTTCTTGTGGCCATGCTATAATTATGTCGTGGCCATGAGATAATTATTGCAGTAATTGCTGATTGTTTATATGGACAAGTTTGAATTATTTCCTTTTATTTTAATATAAGAATGAATGACATAAAACAGTTACTTAAGTTAGGCATGAAGTAATTC